TCCCCTGTGTCTGTGGGTCTGGTCCTGCCCCTGTGCCCTGTGTCTGTGGGTCTGGCCGCTGCCGCTCTCCCTCACGTTTGTGGAAATCGTTCCGATTTCCACCCGAGGCTTTCGGGCTGCTCCGAGTGGCAGTGCTAGCTGTTTCTGCTCAGGAATGTGGACCTGTTTGGCTGGATGCTGGACAGACGGATGGAAAGCTGTGCCTCAGAGCCCACAGTCAAGAATATTGCAAGAAGTAGCTGTCACTACTAAGGAATGCGGCAGAGGAAGGAGATTAAGCCCGAAATCCTTAGATCCACTCGCCACCGCACGCGAGCTCCAGGTTTTGATGCAAAGTCTCCCCATGGGCTCCGTGTGCTGGTGGGACCAGGGCACTGGTGTGGTGGCAGAGGTGCCATTTCTCCTTTGTTTCGGTGCAGGGAGGAACGGAGCTGTAAGAAATGTAAGAAACCAGATGTGGCAGAGAAAAAAAAAAATCCTGAAAGAATGGTAGATTAGATAAACATCATTTCCTGTGATGAGCAAGGTAATAAATGAAGTCATCCTGTAAAACACCTGGGGCTGCAAAGTCAGGGCTTGGAAAGGACTGTCCAGGGCTGTGGGTGGAGGCACTTGGCCTCCAGTCAGCTGCAGGGTGCTGGGCTCAGCCAGGAGCTCTCCCTGCTCTCTGCAGCTTCATCTGCGGTGGAAGTTTGCCTGAGTGGGAAAAGGGGCTCACCCGGGACAAGCCGGGTCTTGACTGGTAGCTTTGCTGCCTTAGCACTGCTCACAAATGCTTTAAAGTTTTGACAAGCCCTCACACACACCGGGAGATAGAGCAGCGTTCCTCCAAACACGGTCCCACCTCCCGGTGCCGGCGCTTCCCCCTCGTGCACGCACGGCAGGAACACCTACTAATCAAACAGAGGGACTTGAAAGAAAGTTTTTTACTCTGAACTGCATCCAGATCACCATTCCTCCATTAAAATTATATTTTTAATGTCCTATAATTGCACCAGGATAAGCCCAGGTGTGTGTTCATGTGAGATAACACACGCGGGTACCGGTGAAGGCGCTGGGCTTTGTCTCAACCTCCCCAGTGCCTCCCAGGCATGTGTTATCTCCAAGTTTCATGTACCTTGTCATGACTTACTGTTTAATTAGATGTTTTTAAATGAATTTTTTTCTTTGTTAGGAATAAAGAGCAGCTCTTAAAGGGTAGGTTCAGAAAAGCCAGCTTGGGTTGCTTTTTGGCGTGTGGCATGAGTCAAAACAGCAGCACCTCTGCTCCAGGAGTTGGACTCCAGGGGAGACCTCTCCATGGACAGACATGCTGGGCTGGCTCTGGAGCATCTCTCCCTCCATTTTGAGGAGGTATTTTTTGTGTGTGAGGTATTTTTGCAGCTCAGTGGCCGCCGTCACCACCCTGACTCCCACAGGAGCTGCTTCTTTCACCTGTGGGCTGGCAATGGGGCAGCCTCAGCCAGGGAACACCCTGTGGTGTTTGTCCCTGCAAAGGAGGTGGTGCCAAGATCTTATTTTTGTAGATTGTGCCACGCCACAAGCACCTGCCTCTGTGGGGTCCCACAGGCCACCCACCCACTGCAGCACAGACACGGGCAAGACCCACAGGGATCCACCCATGTCCTTCCAGCCCAGGGCCACACCAAACCTGCAGCAGAGCAGAGGCAGACACAGACCATTGCTCTCAGCTTAGTAATATTCCAAGATATATGATCTCAGGAAAAAAAAGTTTACAATCTGTCTTAATTATTCAAAGAGCTTAAATGAGGTTCTCTGAAGTCCTAGACTAGCACCCTAACCACTAAACCATCCCACCCTTTCCTGTGTGATCCAGGGAATTACTCACCCTTACTGTCCTTCCATTTGTTTGTTTATTTTAATTCTTAATGGAGGAACTAATTAGCAGATGTGGATGCGATGCTTGGAACTGCTGCGTGCTCAGCTCTCGTCTCTGTGCCCTGTCCCAAGCCCAGCTCTGCCACATCCAGGTATCACCTTCTGGTTGGTGAGAGGTGAAGTGCTGTGGATCTGTGGGAAAGGGAAGAACGGGAGGTGAGAGGGAATTGCTGGAAATGAGCCCAAGGTACACACTGTCATTAAACATCCCTGACCACAGCGTGTCACGGCTCAGGAGCAGGATCACCACCTGTGAGCAGGTTCACCACCACCACAGCCCCAAAATCCATCACAGTGTCTGCTGTGCGTGCCTGGGATTCCAGCCAGGCTGAGTCTCCCCACCCTCTATCTCAGGCATTTATCTGGCATCAGTCACCCCAGTGCTGAGGCGCCAGGGAACGAGGGATGGGGTCAGGCCCTGCTCCCTGCAGACTGGTCAGGCAGGTCCCAGGGAGCAAGTGGTGTCCCCAGTGAGGTGCCTGTGTGGGGATGGCGTGTCCCCAGGGCTCCCTGGGAGCCCAAAGGTGGCCACATGCATGGGAGAAAGCAGGGCCACCAGCCCAGGGCTGGAGAGGTGTGGGCAGGGGATCTGACTGAGGGTGTTCAGGGTGACTCCAAGTACAAGTTCCCAGCTAGTAAGAGATGGGGCAGCTGCTGAAAAACCATCATCAGAGGGTTTGTCCCACCAACACACTGGTTTTAGAAACGCAAGGCATCTGAGCAAGGAAAAGTAAAAGCATTTTCTCTGTGAAGATGGGTGAGCAGTGCTGTCCCCAGAGGGATTCCTGGTCAGGCCGGTGGCTCCGGAGCAGCCGCTGATTCACGTTGCTGTGGTCAGACCCTGACCAAAATCCTGCCAGCTCTGCAGCCTGGCACTGAGCTCTACATGAAGAGAAGAATTTTTTTTAATTATTATTCATGTCTAATCTTTGCTGAAGGGTCTTTTGCCCTTCAATAATCTAAATACATTTAACAAATTGACAGGAACATCACCGTGGCTTCCACGGGATCCGCCGCCACTCACCGAGACACCACAGCTTTGCTCTCCCCTTTTAGCTTATGTAGATCCCAGCCACACATTCAGGTGCATCTATAGGGAATACAGGGGAAAATCTCTCAAGCATGATACTATAAAGTGGATTAAACTGTTTAAACACATAAAGATCCCATAGACCAGGTGCCAAAATGTTTTTTTGCTGCTGAAGGAATAAAGCCGGGGTGGTTGATGCTACAGGCATCACTGCTGCACAGCCAGGGAAACTTCCCTTGGTGTCACAACAGAGCTGTGTGGGTTTCCAGTTCCTCTGGCTTAAATCCTCGGGCTCTCCAGCCTCCTGTTTCTGTTTCTTGCCTTCCTGAGACCCGCGTGGTTTGTGCCGTGAAACGCGAATTCTACACAAGCAGAATTTGAACTGAATTTTAAGTTGTTGTTAAGTAATTGAACTGAAATTTAAATAGTTGTTTTTCTGGTGTAGATACGAGAGGGTGTAGCTGCAGGTCCAGGAAAAAAAAATTTAGAGTCAGGAGGAGGGAAATAATGTGAAATACCAGACTGACTTCTCCAGTGAAGTCGCTGTGTCAGGGCAGTTTCTAACCAACAGCATAGAAAACAGGTGCCAACACACTCTGACATTCAAAAGCAGAATCCAAATCCTTTTCAATCATTCCCTTCAAAGGTTCAGACACTTGGGTTTCACTGTTTAAGGGCACATTTTAATCACTGATATTTTGTGCTTTCCAGTGGGGTGTTACTGCTCAGGCTGCAACATCAGGGGCTCCCCAGACTGCAGAACCCACTCCACAAGTGAAGTAAGGAAGGGAAATGTGTGGGGACCCACCACGAATTAATTGTGAGCAGCTTCCAAAAAACTGACCAACTCTTCTGAACAGCAGCACATTTGAGGCCGAGTCATTCCTAAATGATAGAGCAGGGAAATGCATTAGCTGAAATTATTAATTGCAAAGCTCTTACTAATCCTTTTCCCAGCCCTGCAGAAGCACAGGGGCCTGAGTATATTTTAATATTATATCAGGTGGCCATTCCTATCAAGACACAATGCACTGTGCAGGGACCATCCTTAACCAAGACATGGTACCCAGTGATTCAGGGGAGGCTGAACCTTCCCAAAAGCTCCCAGAGCTCCCCAGGAGACACCTGCAGTGACACACGGCCAGGGCTGGGTCAAACAGAGGCACAGAAAGAAAAATGCAATTCATGTCACATGGCACCTTCACATTTCTCTCCCAACCTGATGAATTGATTTGCATGGGAAACAAAATGTTAAATATGGGAGCTTTGCATAGGCATGGGACCTCTCCTGATCAGCTTTCTCATGGGAATACTTTGAGGCTGTATCCCTGTTCTCCTGAGAGGGTCCCAGATCCATTTCCCTATCAGGACTCAGTAATTTGGAAAGCACAGAGATAAACCCAAGATTCTTTCCATCCTTCCATTTGAAAAGGCCGATGAAGGTGGTTCCTAGAGAGGTTCTTTGACACAGGGACTTGGTTCAGGTTGTGCATTCAAGATAAAGAAAATACCTGTATAATCCCCTCTGGGAAGAGAGGATAATTACAGAGTGTGCGTTTGAAATACAGCTGATGGCTCTGACCTCCTTCCCTGGACCATCAATAAATACCTCTCTGCTGAAACACCAGGAAATTGGAGCAGCTGAACTCTGCAGCACCTCCTCCTCGAAAAAGGGCTTTCAGAGGGCTGGCGGGAGCAGCTGCCCCTGGCTCACACCCACATCCCGATATTCTTTATGTATGTACCTCCATCTTATCATTTACATCAGAGACGTTCAAAAGAAGGGTAGGTGAGCTCACTGACAGCTCTTCCTGGAAGACAACAGCCATCCCTCCCCTCTGCAGCACTTCCATCGGGGGCTGCACACAAACATCCACCAGCCAGAGCTTCCCCCGCTGCCCGCCCAGCGCGGGCAGAGCGGCGGGACCCCCGTGCAGGGGACAAACAGCTTGGGGCTGTTCTCACCGCAGCTGCAGAGTCGTGGAAGCAAAACCTCGGCACCTGCAGCAGGTTTGGAGGGTGCCGGTGTCCCCTGGCAGCGCGGAGCGGCTCCGGTGTCTGTCCCGCAGCGATGCCCGAGGCAGCCGGGCTGACCGGGGCACGGCCCCGGAGAGGGGCGGGGGGGCTGAGAGGCTTTGGGGGGCCTGGAGACAGCGCTGCGGTGCCTGAAGGTGAGCGATTGCTTTATCCCAGGTTGTCTCCTGGGGCTATTCACTGATACCTCTTTAAAATGCAATCTCAGCTGTAGCACACCCTAATTTTTAAAGGGATGTCTCAACAAAAGCTCCAATATTCCAGGGATTCCGTCTTCCTGAGGAGGAGAATTTACCTGTAATGCATCTGAGGAGAGAAGAAAACTGACTTGTAAGACGGGCAGCGATTTGCATGTTCCCTCTGGACTTGTTTTTCCCCTCGCAGCACCCCGAGCTCCAGCTGGAAATGGAACAGAACAAATAACACCACGATAAGCAACTCAATTCCCAAGTACCACAGATTTTCCTGCTTACGAATCATTTTGCAAGCAGGCAGCACATTTCTCCTGTGGAAATGAGTCAGTACTTTTTTTTTTTTTTTTTTTGGTAGGCAAAGTTTCTTTTCCCTTAAACCCAGAGGTCGGTGTTGTGCTGCCAAACCCCGAGCACTGGCACTGGCGCCTGCAGCTCCCGGCAGCACCTGCACGCAGAGCCCGAGCTGCAAACGCACCTTTTCACTGAATATTTACATATCAAAGTGGTCATTTCCAGGAATCACAGGGGTAATTTCAGCCACAAACTTTTGTGAACACAGATGAGGAAGTGGCGGGAGAGCAGGAGCTTGGGCATGGAGCATCCTCAACCCAGAGCCTGCGAAGAAGGAGGCACAGGGATGTGGATTGGTCTGCGCTGGAACTCCTCAGGGAAAAGCACGAAGTTCTCCAAGCCTTTCTAGGTAAAAGCCTTTGAAGAATGGGTTTGTTTTGCTCCTTCTGCGTGACCTGGAACTTAAAAGCCAAGGGACCCACCTCTGCAAGCCAGAACAGAAGTGGCAGAAACTTTGTGGTTTCTTTTGGAACACTTTGAAGGCACAAGGCTCCTCGCTCCATCCACAGGATTCACAGCCGAGGGATCCATTCAGAAGTGGTTTTAATCTTTCTCCTGGCTGTCTCCTGGAAAACCCTCACAGAGACACGGTGACATTCCATCCCACCCACAGCATCGCCAGAGGTGCCAGGACCTCGTGTTGCTCATGGGAATTGCCTTTCCACGCTTGTCTGCTGCTCCAAGGAGCACATCACATCCTGTGCTCAGGCCATGGACCAGCTCCTCCTGGCTACATTTGCCACCCAGGGAATTCTCACCTGAAGAAAGCTCTCACCAGAGATCACTTGGCAAGTTTTAATTGGGTATCACAGCATCCCTCCCAGGTAGACATTATTATATTATATTATATTATTATCTCCAATTTGTTGCTGGAGACAGTCAAGCCCAAATTGGGGTGGTGACCTGCCCTGTGTTGTAACATAATTCCATGCTGGCTGTGCCAGACTCAGAGAGACAATCCCAGGCAAGCAGTGTCCTCCAGCTCAGGGAAGTCAAGGGATGAAGCTTTCGGTGTTCTTGGGCACCAAGAACTGTTTGGAATCACCCTCTCTCTCTGTATCAGGGGCTTTTGTGCCACAGCAGATGGAGTTGTATGAGCTCCATCATCTGCCCGTTACACCCAGGGTACGTTTAAAAGACAAACCAGAGCTGACTCAGCACAAAAAAGGCACCTCTGGTGGGACATCACAAGTCCTGTGGTTCACAGGGAAGACGAAGCCACGTGTACCTGCTGTGAGCACTGAGGCAGGTGGTTGGTGTGGGAGTTCGTGTCTCTCTCCACTGCTGCTCAACACACACCTGAAACAGGGTGCATTGCAAGGGGCACCTGCCTTGAGGTGTTAAAGGCAGCAGAGAGATGCCGAGCCTGATGGACACGATTCCTGGGACGTTGTACAGAAGAGAGAATTGTTTCTCTTCCCACAAGAGAAACTCAGCAAGGGGTTGTACACCTGCTATTGCCACACTGCCCTTCCCAGCAGCCAACTCCAAAACCCCAGAGCACCACGGGCCAGGACAATGTGGTGACAAACAGCTCTACCCCACAGCACCAACAGAAAACCCAGAGCCATAAAAACAGAGGCTGTGCTTGATCAGTCTGCAGCACAGACCCTCCCAGCACTTGGGCAGTAGCTGAAGCCTGGATTGCTTAGAGAGGCATCCCCACAGGCTGGAATTGCACACACACACAGATCATGCCCATGTACCTGATCTTTGGTAAATCATTTAACTTGCTCTGTGCCTCAGCTTTCCCCAGCTGCACTAAGGAGCCGGCTCAAGCCAGGAGTGATTTTATGGCTTTGGTGGCTGGTGCTGTACCAGCACCAGGCTGAGGATTAGTAATGCATGAAGCTCTTTGAGGTCTGCCAGCATAACCTTTTTCCAAAATCAGTTTTCCGTTTCCAATCCACCCCCCCTGAGCTGTGGCTGCCCCACAGTGCTCACCTGCATCCAGGAGCCTGGCAGGTCAAAGTGCTTCACAGGGGCTTTAGTTGGTGAAATCTGCAGCCAAGCTCACCTGGATTTGCTGAATTAGAAGTAGCAGGATTAATCTGAATAAACAACCATCCCAAGGGAAAAAAACACTTGGCAGCTAAAGAAGAGAGCAAAAAAATTTAGGGGGACAGAGCGAAGCAACCAAGCCTCAATAAATAATAAGTGCAGATGGCAAAGATGGCTGTGAGAGAGAAAGACCTTCCACTTCCCAGAGGCTTTCTGAGCAGTTGCTGGTGGGCTGATATCTCCTTCCCCTTTCTTTGGCTGAATCAGCCCAAACCCACTTTTTACCCTGCCCTTTATACCTTCCTGGGGTGTGGTGGGGTGACCCAGGTGTGCCCCATCCCTCTCATCAGGCAGGGCTGGAGGGGTACTGGTTTGGGCACCAGGATCCCACCCTTCCCTTGTCAACCTGTGTAAAGTGTGAACGAGCATCTCTGGGATGTGTTTCTGCTGAAAACCCATGGGCAGGAGTGGGAGCTATGCCCACCCAAACCCCTTCCAGGGGGATGAGCAGGGTGAGAGCCGGTGGGAAAGGTCCTCACCCACGCCAAAAATGGGTGTCTCTTATGGCTGATCACAGAGAACCTCAGAGGGGGTGCCCAGCGCAGTGACACGATGTGACATTTCTATTCCCAGCTGCAAAGCACCCCGTGGGGTT